GCTCTAAGATTCTACATTTATTAAAGCCGCTATTTAATAATTATCACTTCAACTTTAAAAACAGAAAGTTACTTTACATAGCAGAGCCTCAAATACTACCATAAAGCAATTACAGATAGCACAAAACCTGGTTTTCAGAAGACTGTTTAAGATTCCATGGTATATTAGATCAAGAGACATACATAGAGATCTTAGGATTGATTCAGTGAAAAAATATATCAGAGACAGAGCTCTAAAATTATTCACTAAAGTTGATACGCTACTTAACCCCGCCCTAACAATCCTCAAGTCCACTGCTGGACTCTCAGGAAGATATGCTGTTCTAAGGTCCGTCATCAACTAAAAGACAAATAAATGATATGATTTCTTAGCCTAGTGTGGAGTAGAGAAGAATCAAGAAGAAGAAAAAGAAATATAGTTTCTCACAAGTATATAAATAAAATGAACACAGATGTCGTTATTCGTTACAAATACAAGCTGACATCTGCTCATTAACATATATAACTAAACCACGATTGCCATAAAGCAGTTACATATAGCACAAAATCTGGCTTTAAGAAGACTAAGTAAGATTCCTTGGTATATTAGAACAATAGACATGCATAGAGATCTCAGAATCGACTCAGTGAAGAAATATATCAAGGACAGAGCCCTAAAATTATTCACAAAAGTTGATACGTTGACTAACCCTGCCCTAACAAACCTTAAGTTCACCTCAGGACGCACAGGAAGATATGCTGATCTACGGTCCATCATCAGTTAGTAGATAAATAAATGATAATGATTCTAGTATAGTTAAAGTTTAGAGTGGGACAGGGATAAGCCCCCAGCCACAAAATAGTGAAAGTGCGCAAACTATTGAGTTTGTCATATCGAGAAATACCATCATAATTTTTTCCATATTTGGTATAACGTTCAATAGTAAATACATTCCCTTCAGAATTGTCCCTCTTAGATACTAATGCCTTATTTTAACTATGTCATTTTAAGTGACAAAACAAATGTCATAACTGGCAGATGTGTAAAATGCTAAACTATGACCCAAAAACAATAAAAAAGTATCTTTCAAAAAAAGCCATTACATTTGCATTATTATAGTTACTTACATACATTGTGTTTAAAAAAAAATGACTCAAAATGAAGAACGAAGGCTATTTGAACACATTTGAAGAGACTTCTGCTGGTGGAAGTCTCATGACATATACAAGCTCTTGCGAAAGGGTCTCTGGTCTGTCTTTTCTGTCTTTATATTCCTTTGACAAAAAAATTACATGTGTCTTCTTTTACTTTTAACTCATGTATTAGCTATTGCATTTGTTCCATAATCCAGTTATATAGCATTTTGCGCACTCATATTTTGAAAGTACTATCCGGTACCGATGTGTTTTGATTTGGAGTATTTAAGTCAGATAAAACAATTAAAAACAACAATTCAACAATTAAAACATTAAATATAATATTTACCGAAAATTTTACAAACTGCATTAAATTTTTTTAAACTACTTTTAAAAATGGCTAACGAACGACTGTCAACTGCAAACAAATTGCCAACCTGCTTGCAATTCATTTTTCTCTGTCAAATAAATTGTCAAATGAAATTTTGCTGTTTTCATTTGAAAATTATTTGACAAGAAAGCATATGACTACCCGTCTTCATTATACTGAC